TTTAATTGTCTTACTTTTCTTTAAAAAAATATATGATTGGTTCCAAGTCAGCAGTCTCTTCTCTGGAAAAAGTCTTCCATGACTTTTATCCAAGGAAATTATTTGCACGGCTGTATATTTCTAAGGATGGCTTGGTGACGGTGACCAAAGGGAGCATAATGCAAATTAACCCACTCATCCCTTTAAGATTGACCCTTTGTTTATAGAAATTCTATATGCATCACGTCTGTTCTTTGTTAAAATACGGATTATGTATTAAAATATATAATCGATGGTGTAGCTATAATATGTTCATACGTTTTATTATTCACATGTTCTCGGTAATAATATCAATATTTAAATAAAGAACGGACGTCATGTTCGTACGATCGAAGAACTGCCCCTATAAAATACATTGACGAAATAATTAGAAGATTAAAAGTTAAAAGATATTTTATTATTCCAGATTTAGTTTCATTGCGTCCTTGACAATTCCTGGGCTGGAAAATGATTTGCGTTTGCCGCAGTCTCTACGTAAAATAAAAATACGCGTTTATCTTTTTAACCAGAGAAGACAATGTGGCCAATTTGGAACCGCAGCTTTGGGTTTGGCTTTATCGGTTCGGACCTGATTTAAGCTGCCACGTTGGACTTGTTCTTTGTAATAATATTCTTCTCCCAGCAACTGGTTGGCTTTTAAATATTACTAATAGATATATTCCCTCGCTTTTCACATGATTTGGGAATAATTTTGTTTATTCTTATGTGCAAAGATCAAATTCCAAACGATTTTGTTTGTGGGTTTAGTGGGATTAGTTTAATCACAACACAAACAGACATGCACATTGTTTTCAATGAAAACTATTTTGTGGATCGATGCACGTGATCTGTTTGTATAGCTTAGATAACATCCCTTGCATTAAATACACACTAATCATTAGTCTATCTTAATCTATCTTAATCCCAGTTATCAAACCTTCCTTATTGTGTAAAGCATGCCTACTTTGACGAAAATGGTTTAGGGTTTTGTTAGAGAAGGAAATTTGAGACGAATAAATTTGGGATAAAAAGTTGGAAGTATTATCCTTCATTTTAACATGCAAAAGGTTAAGTGGTGCATTAGTGCAATTATCAAACATGAACACCGAGAAAATTAGAGAGAAAAGAATTAATGTGATCTTATCTTTTGAACATTAAAATAGTTGTTATCTCACCTCATTAATTAATCTGAACTTGGCAGGTAACAAGTAGCTTTTTTCTAAGCTACTTGATTATGTTGGTACAACTATAAATTTGAAATCTAATTCATTATATGCTCAATCAAGAAATGTTAATGCACATGAGAGGAAGTGGCGCAAATTAATTCAAAATTGTAGCCCCACGTTACGTATACGTTTTCTAATTTTGGGTACAGGCAGCACCAAACTGCTAGCTTTCCTGTCTCTGCGACTTTGGTTTTTGCAGAGAATTTTTCTTGCATGAGGGTTCTTCAAGTTTCATAATCTTACATGAAAATGAAGTGGTTAACAAAATTTGATCAAATTCTACAATTGTGACCAAGTCTATAGTCCATGGTAGTCGCCAATTTGGTTTAGATCTGAGCAACCCCTTGGATAAGTACTATACTAGTCTACAGATATAAGGAGTCCTTCAATTTGAAATGGGCTACGTTTTATTTATAATTTCTCAATTTGTACAAGGATAATATATATATATATATTTTTACACAACGGCGATAGTGTTTTATTAATGAGGAAAATAAGTAACAAGTACAAAATAATCAGACTATGTCCTAGAGGATTAGACAAGTACTCTACACCAAACGAAGCGTAGTACAAAGACAATTTGAATCAATTGAAAGGATGATTCTAAAATCTACATAAAAGTAAACTCTAAAATAAAAAAATATATGTTTTTAGTCCAAGTAACGGGTAACGTCATTAAACATTCTTTAATTCCATTTTATATTTAGAACGAGGAATAAATATATGCTAAAGAAGAAGCATTTCTTTCATGCCACTGAATGTGACATCCACCAATCAAATGGTCAATGAGAAGGTTAGATTGATAGATGTGACCGATAGTACTAAATTGAATGGAATGGAATGGAATTGGTATTCTTGCCCTAAAAGAAATTGAATTGAATTGAATTGGTATTTAGGCTATTAGTATTTAGGCTATTAGCATACGCATGGACCCTCAAAAGAAATTGAATTGAAATAATAAACAAATCCCATACTTTCCCTTCGCATGGATCGTTGACTTTAATAAATTCATTTGCTTTATCCAATAATGGATCGTACAACTTTACATCAACGCACATCGCATCGATGTAGGTACCAGGAAAATTATACATGTATTTTGTACCACTGGCGGACCCAGAAATTTTTTAGCGGAGGTGCAATATTGACTAAGTATGAAAAATGATTTTTCGGAATAATCATTTTCTCAAGATAATTTTTGGCGGTTTTTGTTCCTTACATATCAAATAAGAAAACTTGATTTTATGGGATTTTAGTATGAAGTATATATTGACTTAATGAGCCATCATTTTTAGCATAAATCGTATTTTGCACTAAAACCGAATTTTCATATTTTGATTCGGTGGGAATTTGATTTTCTAGCATTTTTATTTGAATCCAAATGGGGGGTACTTCCTTATTTACATTGTAAACTTAAGTAAATTGAGTAATATAAAAATAAATAAAAGTAAAATGACAAAGACATTTACTTAAATGTTAAATATGGAAATAAGGTAATCTGTACACCAGTTGAGCAAAGGGGCAATTTCAAGTACCTACAATGATTTTTCCGGCGAGGGGAGGTGCAGCCTTGCGCCTTAGTAGGTCCGCATCTGTTTTGTACATACCAAATTTGCAAGTCGAAAACATTGTTGAAAAAGTTGGTTAAGGTTATGTCATAAGGCTAGTGGTGGTGGAGGTGAGATTCTTTTATTTCTTATATTCCATTCTATGATTCTTCCTGCCTTTGCTTTTATTTCAAAATATAAAAACAAAAAATTCCTTGTTCTTTAATGGTCAGAATACGCTAGTGGTGGGCTCAAAAGCCCAAATTGAGCCCACTTTCAAGACACGTGAAAAGTGAAAGAACCCATATCTCAAACAAAAAACATATCTCTAAAGTAAAATTGAGCGATTGAAATAAAAGCACAGTTGAATTCTTAAAAATCAAGTGTCTTACTTTTTTTTGAAGTAATTCTTGCATGTTCTAGGTACACTACGTGACTGGTGTACCATACAATATACATGTAACATATAAAAATATTATCCAATATTGTTCTGTGTGTATTGGATGGTACACCAATAACGTGGTTTTGGGCTATTGTTTAAAACTTTGATATTTGGTGACCAAAAAACAGTGGGCTGCTGGACTAGGATATTTCAGGTATTAGGGTTGGGCTTGGGAATTTGATATTGGGCTTCTAGACTTGGACATTTATAAAATATTAAAAAAAACACCCGATCTTGTCCAGTTCGGTTTTTAAATCTAAGTTGATTTTTTTCGTCAACACGATTTTTATTAACTCAGTTCGTCGATTCTGCGGTTTTTATGCCAACCCCTATTTCGAAGTGCCTCACCCGATTTTTACTTATTTTTGGTTTAAGCATTATAAATTAAGAGTGTTGCTAAACGAACCCTAAAATTAACTTAGTATACCCTATGATCTAAGTGCACCCTAATATTTAAATTAAAATGTAAAATTAACTAAGTACACCATATTTAACTACCAAAAATACCCCTAGTACACCCTAATACATTCTATAACACAAATCCACCCTTCTCCCTCTCTCTCTCTCACACAGCTCAACTTCACCCTTACCTTGCTTACCGATGGCCAACCCAAACCCCACGAACATAAGATTCTAATAAGCGCGGAATATCATGTTGGAACCCATCTCCCTTCAATTGGTGGAAGAAGGAAATTGCCAAATTGGGTTCGTTTCTTAGACTGTTGAGGTTGCTATCAACCCCCAAGGTATCTAATTCAAAGAAGAAAATAGGTTGTATTGAAACCACCAACACCGTAGATGAACATAAAATGATTATTGTTTTGGGTGGGTTGAATGTGTTTTCTGGGAAAACCAACTCTAATGGACAAAAGCACACATGGAAGATTCCGACTCATTGCAACCCTTTTAGAGCACATAAAGAGAATTTGGATGAGAGGGGGGGCTGTTGGGGGGGAGGAGAGTGGTGGTGGTGGGGTTGGGTTGAATATAGGGTGTACTTATTAAAATTACATTTGTTTTACAATTCAATATATTCTTTTTGGTAATTTTATATTAGGATAAATTAGTAACTCAATAAATAGTTTGGTAGTAGGGTGTACTCAGTTAATTTTATGGTTCGTTTAGCAGCACTCTAAATTAAACCGGATTAACAAACAAGAGAACAGTAACCCTTTTTATTGTTAATTAATCTCTGTCCGGTTTACAATTTTATTTCAATAGCTAGCCATGTCATGTCAAGTCATGTGTGGCCGAAATTAGAGTTGATGCTGATGGGTCATGGCCAGGGTAGGAGCTGGAGATATAAATTAATCATACTGCAGCATATTCAGGAGCTTGTTCTTTATGACTCTGGTGGCTGGCTCTTGGTGTAGCATCATCAATTGGCTTCCTCCTTATTTCATATCAAGAGCTGGTAACTAAAAAACAACAAACTATCTTCTTGTACTCACTGTCTCGATACTCTGCAATCTTCGTAGTAAACAATTTCTCGGCAGGAACAGCCTGTTAGAAAAACTTCAGCTAGTCTAATAACTTCTCCATGCACTTGTGTTCATATACGTGCTCACATGTTCATCTTTTACTTATTTCATGGCCCTTTGTAAGTCGGGAGTTTATCTGGATTCTTTAACCTGACTATGTAGTGTACGGGTGAGTGAGTTGCATATGTTGAACAACTAATTTCTCCCTGAACGAATTTCTGAATCTCTCCTAATCTATGATTATGTGCAGCTCAACCTACAAATAAATAGACTCCAAAATAGTATATTAGTCTTGTACTTGGCCTAATTCTTTACCCCAACCTGAAAAACAATCACAAAACCATCAATAAAATGAATAGGAAACATAAAGCATTATGCTAATATGAAAACCAATTACAAAGTCATCATTGTAAACAAAAAAAGAACAAACCTACAACATAATTAACTTGAATATCATAAAGCATTTGGGGTAGAGATTTGTTCTTTTCTTTTTTCTTTTTTAACCTTTTGGATTGTATAACGATCATCAATTTTATAGGCTTTGAATATCAAATAAAAAGTGCAAAGAAAGCAGCCAAAAGTTGGGACCAACTTCAACCATTATCTCCAAGGCCACGTACAATAGCCACTCAGGCAGTCTGTTTTCGCAAATTGAAAATGCAATTACGTGGTTCCTATTTATCGATTGCCAACTTGACGTGGCTGAAGAATAACAACAATAGAAATAGAGAGAAAAGAAAACTGAACTGCAATTCACTACAGAAAAAAAAAAAAGAAAAAAAAAAAGGACTAGGACTTTCCCTCATCACTCTCATCTTCAATTCAGCCTCATGCCTTACGTCACCAAGCTCATACTTCCTTTATTTTGCTACAACATAGCCACATTATGTTGCCAATTGACAAACATGCACTACGTAATTGTTAATTTTTTTTTTTTTTTTGAAAATAAACAAATATATTAAAACAATTAAATTTAGTGCTTTTAAACATTCTAATCACACAAAACCTAAGGGAAATATTATTAAAAATATATATAAATATTAACATATCAATTAACTTTTACTTTCGTTGCAAGTGTTAATATCTCAGTCATAAGTAAATAACAAACATTGATGAACATGCGGTAATTGAAATGCAATTGAATTTACAAAAATTCAATTGACAGACAGAAAGCAGGTAATTGAATATGTGAAATTTAATTGCATCAATGGTGTGGAATGCACTAAACAAGTTGAGAAAATTAAACATACTCCAAACAATCAATCAAATGGCCAAGGATTTACTTAGCACACAGCTAGATTAATGAAACATAAAAACAAAATGACGCTTACAAAATAGAACATAAAAACCATTCTAACTATACAAAATCATAAGGAAATATCATAAAAATAGATACATAAATATTAACCTATCATGAAGCACACAATAGTGTTACCTAACCAAATAATTAAAAAAAACTTAAATGATAATTAAATTAAATTATATACAGGTAAACACACAGAAAATGCAAAAGGTGCATTACTAAAATCTAATTGGATCAGTCAACTGCAACAAAACATGCTTCCAACACTAAACATCATGCCAATAATCAATCAAATGAGTTAGGCACCAAACCATTAGGCCATTCACCAAATTGCTGAAACTAAAATCACAAGTTCTCAACTTTTCATAATTCCTCTAGGCATATATGAAGCAAATCCTACCAAATTCTCACCCAATAACAAGGATTTTTCTTTCTCAATAACAAAAATATCATATTAGCAGAAAGTCACCATCTTTTTTTCTTTTCAAAACCATGTATACAAACAGCAAGCTAAAAAAACCTTAGCAAAACATTAAGAAATAATTTTATTTTCTTCTTTTGGTGTGAACAAAATATTTCATAATTGAAAAATACATAAGAAATCTTACTTTTTTGTCATTACATAAGCAATCTTACTAAGTTGTTAATCATCCTCGTAGTCCTTTGGGTTCAAGCACCAGTAGAGACTCTACAACACAAGCACCCACCAACTTGTTAAATACAAAATCAATTATACTAATTCATATTAAGGGCTAATTAAAGAAAGCTACCTAAGAGCAACTCCACCGATGCGCCAGGGCTAGGGCAAGGAGGGGCCCAAGCCAAAAATTGCGTTCCAGCGGGCCTTTTGTGCCCGGGCTGGGTGTGGGTCCCACAAAATCGGGCTGGCCCGAAGGCAAATAGAGCCCGAGGGGGGGAGTTGACGTCATGGCTGATGTCAGCAGGCAGTTTAATTTTTTTTACTGCTGGCGCGTGATTTTCACGTGCCAACGATAAAAAAAATTTAAACTTCCGTGCGTTGACGTCAACCCTTCATTTCCGCCAACGGCTAGAAGACACGTGGCGGCCTCTGGGCGCTCCAATTGGTTTTTCTCCTCCAATCCAATGGCTACCCTTTTTTTTTTTGCAATAAAATTATGAAAAAGTTCGAAAAAAAACCAAAAAAATTCTGGAATTTTTGTGCTATAAATACCTATCAATACTCTTCACTTTCAACACTAAATCCTCATACATTTTATTCTCCTTCTACTATTATTCACTTTCTACTCAACATTTTATTCACTTTCAAATTTTTTATTTATTGATCATTTTATGGCTTCTTCTATCGAAACCGGAGGCGCGTGGAGCACCATGGAAGATGTTTTGTTGTGTGAGTGTTGGGTCCAAATTAGTCATTGTCCTGTCACGGGCAATGAGATGAAATTCTCTCATATGTGGAGAAAAATTTATCCCGAATTTTGTGAAAGATCGAGTTCGACTCGTACGGAAATGGCATTGTCTAGTAGGTGGAAAATTCTCAATAAAGAGTTGGGAAAATGGAGAGATGCCTTAGCAAAAGCGAGGGACAACCATAGAAGCGGGGAAAATCTTATCAATGAGGTAAATTATTTGTAATTTTCATTTTATTAATTTTAATGTCCTTTTTTTTTTTTTTTAAAAAAATGTTTCTTGCATTTTCAATATTTTGTTAATATTTTTTTCATTTTTAATATTTTTTTTAATGTTTCTTGCATTTCCAATATTTTGTTAACATTTCTTGCATTTCCAATATTTATTTTTAAAGTTTCTTGCATTTCCAATATTTTGTTAATGTTTCTTGCATTTCCAATATTTTTTTAAATGTTTCTTGAGTTTCCAATATTTCATTCCAATGTTCCTTGCATTTCCAATATATATATATTTTTAATAGATTATGCAAGCGCAAATGTGGTTTGGTGCTATTAGGCAAGGCAAAAAAACTTTCAACCATGACCAATGTTGGGAGATGGTGAAGAATTGTTTGAGATTCCAAATTATTCCAATGGGTCTAACCGTTGTATTGAACGAGACACCACTCCATGATTCAATGGCATCAGATTCGCCTTTGGATTCCCCGATGAGTCAAGACTCACCCATCGAAAAGGAGCTGAGGCCTATTGGTCGAAAGGCGGCGAAGGCGAAGAGAGGGAGTAAATCTAGCAATGATACATCAAAAATTTTGGAGCAAATTGCAAGGCACAGCACCATGAGAATTGAATTAGACATGAAAACCCAAGCGGACGAGAGGGCAATTCATGAAGAATATGCCAAAGAGAGGGAGTATGTACGCAAACAAGACATTGAGAAGAAGGATCGGGAAACCATGGCCATGGATACAAGCCATATGTCCCCTAAAACAAAACAATTTTGGAAGCTAGAACAAAGGGATGTTATGAGAAGAAGACTTGTCCGTGACAATGGACCTAGCAACACGGATTGGTTAAATGATCAAAACCATTAAGTTAGTTTGCTTGCCTTTTATTTCATTGTATTTTAATGTTTTGTATTAAAGTAGTTGTAATTCACGTATTTTATTTAATTCATAGTAATTCTTAATGACTTGTATTGGTTTTCTTTATTTAATAAAGAAAGCATTCAATAACATACCTTTTTATTCAACACATTCCATACATCAACAAAACATAATTAAAAGGAAAAACCACAACCAAAGCATAATAAATAAATAAAAACATCAACACAAAGACAAATTAAAAATTCCGAATCTTGACTTCACTTCATTCACCGTAATTGCCTTTCACGGCCCATAAATGCTTCACCAAGTCAACTTAACATCGTTCATGAATATAAGACGATTGCATCTTCGTATATTGATCAATCATACGGTTCATGAAACGACCGTCCCTAACCAACGGTTCATGCTCCAATGGTTGTCCATTTGGCCCCATGGGCCTTTCATAAATTATTGTCAAGGCCGTGTTCATTGGATCCGATTCGAACATGTCCTCTACATCATAATCATACTCATCCTCCACAATCATGTTATGGAGGATGATGCAAGTCATCATAATGCTCCTCAGCACCTCCTCATCAAACATACGCGCAACACCTCTAATAATTGCCCACCGAACTTGGAGGATGCCAAAACACCTTTCGACATCTTTCCTGTATCTTTCTTGATAGACAGCAAATAATTTGTGCTTCTGGGATTGGGGATTCGGAATTGATTTGACAAATGTGGTCCACCTCGGGTAGATGTCGTCTGCTAGATAATACCCATTCTAGTAGACGGTATTGTTGATTTCATAGCTGATATTTGGGGCTTCACCTCTCAAGACATCGTTGAAAACTGGGGATTGACCTAGTGATCGGTTCATAATTGTATATCATTTTGTACCCTTCTAGCTTATGATTTGGTTATGTTTTTGAGTTAAACTTGTGCTTTTAAT